CTGCTATGATCATTTTCATGTTATTCAATTATATCAAATTGTGCTGTTTTCCTGACAATCTTTCTTCTCTCCATTTTGCAAACATGAAGATTAGCAGTATCTAAAACCACAACCACACTTGGAGATGCAGTAGCCTCAACAGTGCACACCAGCCTCATATTCACTAAATTTTGGGTTTCATTAAAGGCAACCTAGCATCAATATATAATTCACACTAAATCATAGACCACATTATTGAAATTCACACTAAATTCACACTACCTGTAAATTATATCAATGCCTAAAGCCGTTTATAACTATAATCATTATCCAATCCAAATTAATTATACATACCTGCTTTTCTGTACAATTTCTTTTCCGAGTTTCTTCTTTATCTGTTAGCTCTTCTAATTCACTATCAGGATCTAAATCTTCATCATAATCACCACATTCATCATCATAGCCTTCTTGATCATCTTCTATTTCTGCTCCAGAATCATCATCATCATCAGTTTCTTCTTCAGAGTCACCCTCATCTTCTCCCTCTGAAGATACCACACAAGGGCTACCATCTGGGTTATGCAAGTCCGAAATCAGCAAGGCACATAATCCATTTTTTAATCTGATGTATCTAGAAAGTTAAACAGACATACAACTAGACTAGGGGTGTCAAACTCAATTTCACTGAGGGCTGCATCAGCATTGCGGTTGCCCTCCGGGGGGGGCAGGTGTGTATGGCCAGGGTGGGTGCAGCCTACTGTGTGGGTGTGGATGGAGTGGGTGTGGCGTACTGGGTGGGCATGGCCAGCTCTATATCGTTCGCGTCAAGGGTGCCTGGGCAGGAGTGGGACAGATCTGAGGGTCTCTGGCAGAAGGGGGTGGGACCGGGGCAAGCGCCAAGGCATGGTCCATTTCTTCATTCCTCACAAAGGGTGATACCTCCCCAGCATGCACCCAGAGGGCGGCGCTGACACGGCAGGGGCTGGTCCCTCGCTGTTTCTAGACGACCTTGTGGAGCTAAAACTGAATGAGTTTCAGCATAGATGGCCACCACAAAATTGTACATTGGCTCCCAGCTGGCCTGGGCCAGGGCCAAGGCAGCAGGGGCTGTTCCCTCAGTGTTTCCAGGATGGCTTCGCGGGCCACATGAAACCACTTTGTGGGCCGCATCCGGCCCCCAGACCTTGTCTTTGACATGTCTGGACTAGACATTCTTTTCAATGCCTTTGAATGAAAACTAAATGTGTTATTCCTGGCACGCTATGTCTTTGCAGGGTCTCTTTAATGAACTATTGGACCAAACAAGACCTTTTAAAATATTCATTTGTTTTTTTTAAATACATCTTACATTATAATGAATTCCAGAATGGGCAATGTGACTCACCCCTTCCACTATTAGCATACACTCCTCCAGAAAACAGTTCAGATTGTTGGTACTCTATGATGTGCTTGAGGTAAGAATGAAAAATAGATACTTATCTCAAATAAGATCCACTTCTAACAGCGAGTCCTCCTTTCATCTCAAATGCACACTTTCAGGAATTATTTATATGTCCACACTTTCTTGAAAAACCTCATACCAAAGTACACTTTTGAGTTATATATCATTTTAATCTCAGATTAAAGATGCAGAATTTTTCTTGAATTTAACAACTAAATACTAAACAGTGAGTTTTATGCCCAAACATGGCTCTGAACCTCTGTGGACAAATCTAAATCCATGGTTGGTAAATTATCCTGAGTGGTCCTAATTCAAGAATCCACATATTGGATTGGATTGAACCAACATTAGTCCTATCTAGCATCTGACCAGATACAAATATTCTTCGACTTACAACAGTTCATTTAGTGACCATTTGAAGTTACAACACTGAAAAAAGTAACACATGACCATTTTTCAGACTTACAACCGTTGCAGCATCCCCATGGTCAGGTGATCAAAATTCAGATGTTTGGCAACTGACTCATATTTATGACATTAGAAATGTCCCAGGGTCATGTGATCACCTTTTGTGACCTTCTGACAAAATCCATGGGGAAGCCAGATTCACCTAACAACAGTGTTACTAACTTAACAACTGCAGGGATTCACTTAACAACTGTGGCAAGAAAGGTCGTAAGATGGGGCAAACTCACTTAACAAATGTCTCACTTAGCAACAGAAATTTTGGGCTCAATTTTGGTCGTAAGACAAGGACTATCTGTACTCAGAGATTGCTCACAAACAAAACATGAAGTCTCACTGCCTTATCTGCAACTTACCTCTGAACAAAGAAGGGATCTAGAAGGTTGGGCACCTTCTAGATCCCTCGAAATATATCAGACTAACCATCCGTACTTCCATGATGACTATGGAAGAAGTTATGGTGCAATTCTTCTGGATGACCCTCCGGTTAGAAAAAGCTTTTAAAGCGAGTAGGCAAATTCATTCCACAAATCCGACATACACACATACAAACACACACAGAGTGTTTGGCAGCCTGCTCTACCGTGGGCATCTCAAAGAGTACCTGTACTGTTTGGGATCACTGGGGGACTTGACAATCTCGGGATCGCCCAAGTTGGGGCAAGGCTCACAGGCGGCGGTGGCGTCTCCGCTCTCCGCATCAGCTTCTTCCTGGACAGCGCCGGCTTTGGCCCCACGGCTGCCCTCCAAGTCCTCAGGCTGCTCAGGGCCGCAGGCAGACGAGGCCTTGGTTCTACCCGGCATGGCTGTCAAGATAACTGCGGAGGAGACACGCACGATGGGCCTGAAGGCGAAGATCTTTCCGGGCCCGGCTAGATGGCCGCTCAGGCCGGCACGATCCCGACAGTGGAAGGCTCGCCCTATTCGCAGCGGACTTATTCCCGAGCAACTCCGCGATACAGCAGCTATCACCTTCCGCATCCGCCGCGGGCCAAAACCCAGCCGGGCCGCTCCAGCCTGCAAGATCACAGGCCGGTGCTAAGGACTGAACACACCGGCTGTTATCCAATCAGAGCCCAGGTTCTTGCCCATGTGATCCCGCCAACAAATCCGGAGGCCCTTCGGCAAATCGCTTCTCTGATAGATACATAGCGGCGGAGGAGGCGGGAGCAGAGCAAACCCGTTGCCGTTTACTGTCGGTTGAGGCCGAGGCGCTCAGAACGGAATGTTGCTTTCTGTGTAAAATGTGTGACGTCCGTCGTTAAGTTCGACCAAGACATGAGATTTCTTGTTCGTAGCAGTTCGTAGGAAAAAAGTGGTTTTGGTTATTCTGCGACATAGATCAACAACTCAGATTTATTTTGATACTGTCGGACAGCAACTCTCGGCTTTCCGCACTCATTTGTTGGGGCTGGTGGGAATTAAGGATCCTTCCATATTTGGAAGCCTGTAGATCTCTAACTCTCTAGGAAAGGAATTTTTTCCTAGATTTTTTCCCCCTAGGTGGTTATACTGGGTAAAGAACAGTTAGTCCTTGACTTACAACAGTTCATTTAGTGACCATTCAAAGTTACAATGGCATTGAAAAAGTGACTTAGGACCATTTTTCACCCTTTGGACCATTGCACCACCCCCATTGTCCCATGATCAAAATTCAGACTCTTGGCAACTGATGCATACTTACAATGGGTGCAGTGTCCCAGGATCATGTGATCCACTTTTGCAACCATCTGACAAGCAAAGTCAATGGAGAAGCCAGATTCACTTAACAGTGTTACTAATTTAACAACTGCAGTGATTCACTCAACTGTGGCAAGAAAGGTTGTAAAATGAGGCAAAATTCACTTAACAAATGTTTCACGTAGCAGCACAAATGCTGGGCTGAGTTGTGGTCATAAGTCAAGGACTACCTGTAGAAGTAATGTATTTGCAAACAAAGTGGCATGTTGGCAGATGTAATGGATGGGGCAGAGACGGACGGGGCCCTAGTTTGAGATAGCCAAGAAGTGTCTTGTCTAATCCCACCCGCAAGTGAGCACCTGATGTTGCCTCTCATATAGTGTAAAGTTGGAGAAAAAGAAGTACGGCGGTGGGGAGTGGATAAAAGTCCTCTGTTAAATTTTCATACAAGAAGTTTGGTATACATAAATTTAAAAACAGTGTACACAATTGGAGTACACGTAGTCCTTAACTTACAACAGTTGGTTTAGTGGTTGAAGTTAAAACAGGGTGACTTGAAAAGGGTGACTTATGGTCGTTTTCCATATGACTGTTGCAGCATCCTCATGATCATGGGATTAAAACTCAGATGCTATTTATGATGGTTGCAGTGTCCTGGGGTCATGGGATCACCTTTTGCGACCTGACAAGCAAAGTCAATGGAGAAGCCAGATTCACTTAAGAATCGAGTTACTAACTTATCAACTGCAGTGATTCACTTAACAACTAGGGAAAGAAAGGTTGTAAAATGGGGCAAAACTCACTTAACAAATGTCTTGCTTAACAACAGAAATTTTGGTCAGAAGTCAAGGACTACCTGTATTCAGATGCAGCTCGCTGAGGCTCTTGCCCCCCCCCCGCCCACCCCTGCGTAGATCATCTGACTCAAAAGAGTTAGGGAGTTAACATTTAAGAATCAACACCTAATGCTTAATTGGCCTTAATAACATCATTACTTTAAAAGAGTAGACATTCTCTACCTTTATTAAAATCTGTTGCAACCAATACCTATGAAAAAAATATTTAAATAAACCTAAGCCATCTTCAATCAGTTACAGCCATCCTATTGTAAAACTGTGGTGGGGATTTAAACACTCCTTAACTTTCTCCATTTAAATTAGTTGTTTTGCAAAGAAGAATATTCTTGATACTTGGTGTGTTCAGACTTGACTGTAATCTAATCTTCCAATATATAAAGAAGGTGATAAATCATTTTTCTCCCCACCTTGACCTATGATCATTTTTTTGTCTACTATATATAGAACTGAATGTAATGAGATTTACTCCCAGTAGCCTAAGGAGGTAGTACTTTTGTAACCTTAGCAGATTTCTGGTTATGCCTTAAATTGGGAGACCACCCAATCTGTAGGTTACACCAGGAAATAAAAAAGTATCCCAGAAGTGATGAGCTTTTTCCTATTGCTGTGAAGGAAACTGCATGGAAATGGCCATGAATTTATCAGAAGTTGAGTCTGACTCAAGAGTTACTTCTGGGATACTGCTAATAGAATTGTTGCTTTAATTTCATGGAAATTTCTTTTCAACTGACCCAATTGTGTTATAAAAACGTTCATGCTGATATTTGTTGTATTTCATTTTATCTTTATTGTGTTTTGAACATGGAATGCTGGGTGGGGAAGCAAAAGGTAAACTTGAAATGTATTAAATATAATATTTCATATTTCTAATATTTCTATTTATTATATTAGGCTTCGTAGTAAAGTTTTTCTTGTCCATAATATAGTTAAGTCGCTTCAAGCAGTGTATTTTTCTTCTGAATCTGAAAATCTCAGATTTTTGTTAACACCGAATTAAGAGATATATGTATTTGGAGAAAATGCCACAAAGGTGATGTCTGCATCACCAGCATAACTCAAAAGATAATGAGACCTGATTTGATGAGTACAAAGAATCTCAAAAAAACAACTGCAAAACAGTGCAAAGAGGCAGATAAAAACATAAGCAGCTTTGTTTGCTACACAGGAAAATTGTCACCACTAGTTGAAGGGGCTGCAACAAATGCTAGAAATTATATTATGCATGTTTTCCCTGCCTAGTTCTAATTTACACCAAGAGGCATTTTCCCCATTTTTCAGTGTCATTTATCATATCTAGCAGGGGGCTAGACTATAAGACTTCCAAGGTCCCTTCTAGCTCTGTTTTGTTCTGTTCTGTTCCATTTTTGGATCAGTAGAGGGCAGAATTTATAATAAATCAAATTCTTTACCTTAGGGATTGAGATTGATCCAGCAAGTTTCTCTTTCATATGCGATACTTGGAAAATAAGTTCTCCCTTGGTGTTAGCATGATAGCCATCTGCAGAATTCAACATGACTCACAGCCTAACATGCTACATAAACTGTAATATAATTAACATTGCCTGAATTTCTTTTTTTTATTCTGCCTAGTAGTTTTAGAAAGGAAATTACTCTGAAACATAGCCGTACATTTGAAAGAACCTCCTATTGTATTTGGATAGATTGTTTATACTCATAAGCAACCTAAATTAATAAAATAACCTGTAGTTACCAAATAATATTTTATTTTGTCAGAAACTTATCAAGAACAACAAATACACTACAAGCACTTTAAGTCAGTATCTTGTAATATATCATAAATATACAAGAAAATAAATCTTTTTGTTATAATACCAAAATGAGAAAAAAAATCACAGTTACTGATTATTTTTACTTACTTTCCATACAATGGCTGAAATGAAATGAATATTGTATGTGTTTATGTAAATTATATGTACAATCTTACCAGAGTAAGCCTCATTAAAGTTTGAATTTATTCTGATAATGGTGAAGAAAGCATTGCAACCTTAGTTATAGCAAAACGTTTTGCATCTCTTAATTACCACTGAGTTTGTGAGACTTATTACCAAATAACAAGAAATATTTGGGTTATTTGAGTGTGCGATAGGTTGGAAAGACTACCAAAAAATAAAATGAAAGAAACTGAGCAACGCAGCATCTCAAAATTATTACTGCGCGTGCTAATAATTCTGTTACTTGCTTCTGTCTTAATTCCCTTTTATCAACATGCATCTAACGCAGTGGTTCTCAACCTGTGGGTCGGGACCCCATTTGGGGTCGAATGACCATTTCACGGGGGTCACCAAACCATGCTGTCTGCCATTTTTTTCCCTTTTCCCTAGCTGTCCTACTCCCTCTTATTGGTGGCCACACCCACTTGGGGGTCACCACAACATGGGGAACTGTATTATGGGGTCACGGCATTAGAAAGGTTGAGAATCACTGATCTAACGTATGTCTTCATTACAGCTAAATGCTATTTATTTAAACATACTTCAGTCTTAGCAGTGGCTTCTGATGAGCAGATTCAGAAGTGTTTTTGAATTCATGTTGTTTGGCTCAATTGTTAATAAAATTATTAGAAACACCAAGCATAATTCACTATAAAATATTAAACCTTAAGATAAATTCTCAATGGAATGCTAGCACTTACAGCCACTTTTTATTTTATTCATGGCACAGAATATGTTTTTGTTGACATAGAACAAATGTACTTACAGTAGTTCCACCAGCACAGAGACATCCCTTTCTAAAGACAGTAAGTGAGGAGAAAATTTTCCTGCATCAAGAGAAAATTTTCCTACTGATTTTTGAGGCACTAACAGGAGCACTTCTGCTGCAGTGGAGGTGGCTGATATATGAGCCGCACATTCTTCCCAGCAGTAGCCTTTGAAGCTTCTGATTCCATGCTCTCTGACATCTTCTCACAAATGATGTCCACAAGACGTTCAAAGACTTGCCTCACGTTGATATTCTCCTTGGCACTGGCTTCAAAGTAATCAAAACCTAGTTTTTATTTTGGAACAATACAGACAAAGCAGTTATCAGCTTATCCCAAGATTGTTTTTAATACTACTTTGGAATTAAATTTCCTCAGTGCTTTTTTTGTAAAAAAAAAAAAAAAAAAAAGGTGCCGGAACTCACACACGTCATACAACCTGCCTTGCCTACCCTACAAGGTTCCATCCAAAAAAGGGGCGTTCTATGACAAAAAAAGCCCTGAATTTCCTGTTAGTTTCTTAATGAGAATAACACCTCAAGTTCAGAGGAGGTAAGATGCTTTGTTATTGTCTCTCAGCATATAGAAGAAATGAATGAACTGGAGTTATGTATTTCGGATTCTGCCTTCTGTATGGCCCATCAAGGTATTTTTGTGTACAACGTAAGAATGTATTCTGAGGATCCTCACACTAGTAAAATGTAACTAATACTGTAAGTGGTTTTGAGCTTTACGTTTTGCTAATAACATAAGAAACGTCTTTCCAAATCATATCAAGATGTACTTAATCCAAAAATATTTTAGGAAGCTGATTAATTAACAATCTTTTGCCTTCTTCATACTTCTGAGAAATGCATAAATCAACCATTGATGCATGCCCATTGTGATATAATTTTAAGTCACTGAAAAGCATTTGATTTGTGAGATCCATGGGTTTTGGATGTTTTTCTCATAGAGCACAATTGCTTTGTCAGATATACTTTTGCACCTAAATTTTCTTGTGGTTATTTCCCACTTTCCAACATTCTATAAATGTCCATAAGTACTAAAAATTTACGTGAGAGGTACAATAACATTTAGTAGCAGCTATGGTAATGGGATTAAGGCACAATACATATCTTTCTTTCCTAAGAAAGGGATTGTTAATACATTTAAATCTATGACTTAATTGCAGGCTCCTAGTTCTCCACTACAATATTAAACAAGGGCAATGGCTTTTGTTAAAAACCTACTGATCCCTAGTGATATTTGAAATATGACCTAAGAGTTATCTTTGAATTTACACATTTGGTTAAACCTTAACATTTAATCGTGTATTGTAGGATTTCACAGTCGCCTTTATCAGTGAAATGATTTCTAGGAAATGTCTGATGACACAATGAGTAAGTGACTAACTTTTTTCTAGCTGTGATGCTACATTCTTCTGAAACAGTTTGGCAACATCTCAGGTCTGTAGCAGGCTTTTCAACCTTTTCACCTATTGTACCACTTTTAGGATATGGCAACATCCAAGTACCACCAGTCACCTAGCAAGGTGTCAAAAACGTGATGACCAAAAAAAAAAAAAAAAGGAAAAAAGTGATAAAGAACAGGTAGTCTCAACTTACAACAGTTCACTTAGTGACTGTTCAAAGTTACAATGGCACTGAAAAAAGTGCCCCCCAAGCCACAGACGACCAAGACACCTACCTGCCCACCCAGCCGTGCTCTTCCTCCTGTCCAAAGTTTTCATTGTTGTGAGCATTTCTGTTGAGGATTCGCAGAGGGGGTGGGGTAGGGGGGTGTTTGGTTTTTATTTCCCCCCGTCTTCTGGGTGGTTGCAGTAGGTTTTGGTCACTTCACATGACCCTGGGACACTGGCCGTCATAAATATGAATCAGTTGCCAAGCATCTGAATGTAAATCAAAAGACTCTAGAGCAGTGGTTCTCAACGTTTGTGTGACGGCGACCCCGGCACACAAACGTTCTGCGCATGTGCGGCGCCGCGCGCATGGGGGCGGCGCCGCCCCATGCACGGCGCCGCCCCCTGAGGGGAGAAAATGGCGGATCGCCTTCTTTGGTGACCCCCGAAAAATGGTCGATCGACCCCAAATGGGGTTGCGACCCATAGGTTGAGAACCGCTGCTCTAGAGATACTGCAATATTCCAGCTGATCGGAGCTTCTTCTGGGCTCAGCAGAAGCGCCAGGATCAGCGCCGAGCTCCAGCTGGAGCCTGATGCTGATCTTGGCGCTTCCACTGAGCCCTGACAGCCCCGAAGAAGCACCGATCAGCCGGAAAGCGGCACTGATCCTGGCGCTTCCGCTGAGCCCTGACAGTCCTGCAGCTCCAGCCATCTCTCACTCAGGCTTGTGCAGTACTGCCACCAGTTCAGCTCATTCCCCTCCCCCGCTACCACTTTTCTAGGATGGTCACATACCACCTGCCAGGTGCCAATGTACCACAGGTGATACCCATATCACTGGTTGAAAAGTCCTGGTCTATAGTTCCTGCATGTGGAGTGGAATGCCCACTCAGTCATTAAATGCTATAGTCATTAAATGTAAGATGACCAACCATCCTCCTTTAGGGAGGACAGTCCTCCTTTTGTAAGTTCTGTCCTCCCTCAAAAAGTGTCCTTCTACATGTCTTCCTTTTGGCTATTTGAAGATTAATCTGCAGGGCTTTTTTTTTCTCATAGAACGCTCAGAACAGCGTTCTGGCATCTTTTTTTGATGGTTTTATTTCAACTTTTGCATGAGCTGTGCTACTCCCCCTATTGGCTTTCGAAAGCCAATAGGAATTGCTGCTGAGCGCCAAAACACCTGGCCGGCAAACTTTGCACATGCAAGTTGTCTGCAGCGAAGGTGAATTGGCAGGAACTTTGCACTCCTCCCTGCTATCCAACTACACCATCTCCTGGTTAGTTCCGAAGATACCTGAAGGAGACTGGAGTGGTAAGTTTCTCTTGATTTTTGGCTCTGCTAGGTCAATAATGGCTGCGGGCACAAGAGGCAGGGGCGGTGGGAGTGCTGTGAGCGGGGGTGTGAGGGGCGGCAGCGGTTGGCTGACCCCCCGTGCTGTGGGAGCCGCGAGGCCCTCTCTACAAGGGGCTGCGGAGGGTGGGCGGTGCTGCTGGCAGGGTGGTTGCAGGCAGGGTATGTTGACAGCGGCCTGCCCCCCCAGGGCCAGAGCCGGTGCAGCTGGTGCTTTGGGAGCCGCAGGGCCCGCTGTACACAGCGGGGCAGCGGTGTTGGCAGGGCAGCTGTGGGCGGGGGCGCAGCTGGCGGTTGACCTTCCATGGGCCGGGCCAGCTTTTACGATATTTTTTTCTTCAATTTATTTGTGTCCTCCTTTTCATTGTAAAAAAGTTGATGACCTTATTAAATGCCCACTCAGTCATTAAATGCTCAATCAGTCATTAAATGCTATATGGATAGGCTGGTGATAGTTTTCTCCTTATTTCTGTGTGAATATTTACCATTTCTAATACTTCTGTAGGAATTCTGGAGAAACAGCTATTGTAATTGGCAGGATGCTGACATTCCTCAGGCCTGTTTTGTGATTTGAATTTTGCCAGAGGTATTCAACCAAAGCTGGTGTGTATGTTTTTAAGCCCGATGTTCCTTTAATCTTCCTGGGTTCTGCATTCTATGGCGCATTCAGTTTCTCTGATACAGCTGTCCTCATATTTCATATATTCCTTCAGTTCTTAGTTTTAGAAATTATCCTTGTTAAATCAATATTAGGATATTGTACAAATCCAACTGTGCTTATTGAATAAAATCACTATATCAGGGAGATGGGTACCATATAAATTTAATGAAAAATTAAAATGTATTGAAGCAATCTTATTTTTAGTGGGATGTCTAAACTCAGAATTTATTTTTACGTGAATCAATGTACCTCTATTCCTAGTCTGCTTTCACTGATTACCTATTTGAGTGACACTGTAATCTATCTGCTGCAAAATAGCAGAAAGACGAAGATAAGTATCAGAATAAGATCCTGGAGCCATGACTAGAGTTAAAAAAAAAACACCTGCAGATACTAAAATCTAGTTACATACAATTTAAGCATCAGACTATATAGTGGGATTGAATGAGGGGTTATATAATAAGAGAGAGAAAGGAAAAGAAAGGCTGGTATAGTCATAATGATACATGAAATAGATCAGTTCATTAATAGGTATACTGAACAAGGAGAGGAATATGAAAGGGAAAGCACAAAGCAGGAAGAAAGCAAGCGGTGAAATAAAGTAATGAGGAAAGGATTCCTATAGCCCTTACATGAGTCAAATATTGGAACTGGAAAACATTGCTGACTCAACTCCCATATTTAGAGGAATAAAAACCCTAGACACAACGACAGACATAAGGCTTTGAGATTCTTTCAACAATGATTTGTCTTCTCTGATAATCAAAAATAAATAATATATCTGGAAAAGCCAGTAAACCTGAGATGTGGCTACAGATCAGGGTGAAGAAAGGGGGGATGGGGGGGGGAGGAGAAATAAAGATAAGGTTGAACATGTACCCAACTGATCAGCCAAATGTTTTCCTTTTTCAATAGGAATAATTCTTTCATCCTCCATATCACACTTATTTCCAACCAGAATAACTTGTGCATTATCCCAGGAATACGTCTTTATTTGAGTGGCCCTGTAAAAACAAACAAACAAAGAAGACAACAATATGATTTGCTGTGAATCGTAACTACAGAAAGCCATCAACATCCAAACAACAGCAACAGCTTGAGAATAGCCAGTGTTGTTAGTTGTTGTTGTTGTTAGTACTTAAAAGTATTTAATTCTAGAAATTCCCATTACTTTACAAATGAGCCAACACCTTAGTATTTGCCCATAAAATTAGCTCAGAATACTGTTTCTTAAGCTATATTCATTGGAAGAGCTCTATTTTCCAAGCTATTCTGCAAGTTGGTGCAGGTTCTTGTGCAGCTCCAGCTAGTAGGCCTGCAAGCTTTCCTTTAACAATCTTGACCTAGATATTGATGAAATATGCTATCATATGGAATTTCATTTATCCCATTTAGATTCATAATGCATATATATATGCTGGAAAATTTGCATAAAAATACGACTTCTGGGCATGTCTATGGTACAAATAAAATGCGAACACCAGGAGAGTATAAATATAAAAATATACTTTACTAAAAGCTGCCAAGCTTTCATTTGGAAACTCCAAACATCATCAGGGCTAAGGAGCCAGTAAACAATGATGACTTAAATGGGTTTTGCCGGCATCTGCACCCGGCGTCACCAGTCCCGGCCGGTTAATTAGTGTTCCAGATGTTTCTTTATTACTGTCCTTGCGCTTCTTTCTATGGTTCTTCCGGATCATTCCTTCCACTATCTCATTACTGACATTCATCTCCTCCACCACCCCTTTATCCTTATTTCCTTCCATAGTACTGACCCTCATCCCCTTTTTGTTTTCATTTTCCGCCCTGGGGGCATCCGTTTCTCCTCTATCAGTGTTACAAGCTTCCCTGGGCTCACAAACGCTCCCCCCCACACCCGCTGTTCTCAATCCCTGCTCCATACCCTTTCTTCTCACTCCTCCACTGTCATGAGTAACTTTCATACGGGTGTTGCATATTTGGGGGTCTATGCCCTCCTCCTCCATCCTGGCAATCTTCGTGTTGACAGTTCTCCACCGTTCCATTTGTTTGCTGCGTGATCGGGTGCTTACTCCGCCTCTCAATTCATCATCCCCCCTCCTCCCTATCGCACGCTCTTCCCCATTGCTGATAGGAACGGCATTCAGATGGACACCAGGTCTCTGGATCTCTGCATTCTGATTCCCCGCGTTCACTCTCCTCTCCTGTGCTCATCTTTGAGGGGACTTTTATATATATATATATATAATATAAAGGAAAAAAGTAGGTTTAAAAGATATTTTACTTCAGGTTGCCTTCTCTTTTCTATACTTAGGAAATAATTATTGTGAACTTGAAAAGGTAATGGAACAATGCTTTAAAAGGCATGATTACAAAATTGCAAACACACAAAAACACCCCCTTTTAAATCCAGCAGGGGGAGTCAGAAGATTAAAAAAATATGGATTAATTCAAGTAAATCACATTGCCCTGTAATTCTAATATATTCCAGCTAGCGAGCACTCTTAACATGGATTATTTCTACCCCATTAAATAGACCCAAGTTAATGGAATATTTCCTTATATCTCCTCCTATTTATATTGTCAAAATCTGAGTCTTTGAGAATCCTGACTGAGTTTGCTTTCTGATTTAGATAAAATGATAAAATGATAGAATTATTATTCATTCCTACAATGTTTTGATTATCAGTGGTCAATCCACACTGAGCCTCTCCTATAAAAGCAGCGTCAGCCAGTCAATGTGTGCCTTTTTATCAGTATACCCACTGAAAGCTATTACTAGCCTTGCTGATAGGGAATAGTTAAATAAATGTTGGAATTGTGATAACCAATCTAGGAAGAGCCAATGGCAATTTTTTGGCATTCAGCACCCATTGTTAATGAAAAGGTACATTTTTGGGCTTTGGCTTCACTAATCTCTCCAAAATGGGGGACAATGAGTTGATTCTCTTATCATGATTAAAATAGGCCTTTTCTAAAGGGGAGATGAAGTCTTTCAGATAACTGGATGCATCTCCAGATTAATTTGTAACAACCCAATTTATATAGTTGGGGAGGCAAAAATGACAGGGACATGGAAACACTGCTAGTGTACAAGTTACTTTCCTTTTTCAGTGGCCATGCTAAAAGCAGTCGTTTCTCCTCCTTATATTTCATTGAGTTAGGGAGGTACCGTATCTACCTGAGTTGGGTTTGGATATTATATTATTGTTGTGATTTTTAAAAAATGCTTCAGCCTAGTTGGTTCCTGCATATCTCTTACCAATTATCTCTGCACAATTATCTTCTTTTCAGTATCTTAGTATTCTGCCTGTTTTCCATATGATATTTGTATTAGTCTACTCTATTATGTGTACACAGGTTTATGGCATTGATTAATCAAACAAAGGAAATTAGAACAAAATAACCTGTAAGCCATAGTTACCTCCTTTGCATCTCCAGGGTTTTTTTTCCCTCCTGAGTAATGAGATGATTAAATTGAGGAATGAATGTGGCCTTTTCTCTCATTCCTTTCCATTTTTCTAGCTTTGGTATGAAATGAGGTGTTCAGCACTTCTTTGGAGCTGACTGTACAGTTTGAACTTATCATAGAATGATACAACTTGTGAAGTGCCTGCTCTATTAACATTGAATATATTTTAGCCCTTGACACTTTCCGGCTTTACAGGATTTTTTAATTAGGTTATTTTTTTCATCTTGCATTCAGCTCCGGAATATTACATACTTACTGATGTTAGTGTAAATAGGCCAGTGAGTTGGATGAAAATTTAATAATACTTAAGGAAGATGTAATGAAATCAGTGGGATTTAACTTAGTCATGATTTATTTAAATGCCATTGATTCCAGTGGGTCTAATTCTGCTTAACATGCAGGACAGGGCCACCTTCTGCTTAATACACGGGACAGGCAAGAGTCATAATTTGGGCAGTAATGCACAAGGAGCTGGAGCATAATCTAAAACAACCCCCAGGCTGCCAACTGGTACCAATCCGTGGCCTGTTAGGAACCGGGCCATGTAAATGAGCAAAACTTCATCTCAGATTACCCTAACCTCACCCACAGCCCTAAGGCAGCCATGAACCTTTTTTTTTAATAGTTGGAAGAAATGTTTCTTTTCCTCTCCCAATCCAAGAGTTCTCTCCTGCAGACAATCTAGAGTGTCTCTGAAATGAGCCTGGGGGTGACCCAAGGATGATCCACTCCTCTTGGTCTGAAAAGTCTGCTGTGGAAATGCCATCTCATCTAATCATTCAGCACAGTGCCTTCATGGCCATTTTGACTTTGGTCAACAAGAGAAGGTAAACACCTAGTCTGTTTCTCTTTGCACTGGAATAACAAACTCTCAGAGGATTGATAGAGCTGTCTGCTAGGAATACTGATATTTGACACGTTTGTGTGATATGTTATGTGCTGTGCATATTATAAAGCATGAGAAATATGTAGCACAGAGAGAAACAAATGTGGAATGGAAGATGAGATAGAGAAGTGTTTTTTGCATGGTCATAAATAATTGATAGAAGAAGAAAGGAATGAAAAAGCCAGATGCACAAAAGCCCCAAGACCCCTCGGGTTTTATTTCTTCTGTCATATACTTCAAATCAGCTCTTCCAATCACTCAGGCAGACTTTTGGTAGAGGTGAAAGAGTGGTATTGTTCTCAGAACAGGGAGATTGGAATTCAAACAACCTCAAGATGGAACCATCTATGAAATCATTTCATAGGATTATCACTCTCTTACAAAGAGCAAAATGCCTCTCAGAAGAAGCATATAGGAAGTAATAAAAATAAGGCTAAGAAAATAAACAATAAAAATTAAAGGTTGAGCTCCCAACCATTTTCAACACACATTCAGGCCAACAACTCATGGTTGGTTTTCTCTTTGGGACATGATGGTGGAGATGGGAGGAAAGACGCTAAGGAATCCAGCAGTTGCTGCCTTGAAATTATCCCACATTAAATTGTATAAGAAAAGTAATGTGGTTGCTGCAGTACAGTAAAGACAGTGTACCTTATACCAATATACATTTCTCCTGTCTGAAGAGTGGGAAAAACACAGTAACATGGCCATAAGAAAGAGCTCTTAGACAATTACTCTCTTATTACACAGAGATTTTCCCAGTTCTTGCATAATGAAAATACAGTCACCTATGTTGCCCTAAAATGTGTGAATGTAATTATGCAGTTTAAGCTGACAGATCCTTCCAATAATATTGCATGCTGTTCTGCTGACCTAGAACCATGCTGTTAAACTCACTGATGAGGAATGTTTGACTCAATCTGACCGCATTAGAAGAGGGCAGTAGGCAAGTTTGCTACAAGAAGTAATATATTTCCCATTTTATGAAAAGGCATAAATTAAAACCACTACTTGATGTGTGAAATAATTATCCCAGGGAGTGTGATTTAAAGAGCAAAGAGGCTGTCAGCTGCCTGGGAAGTGTTGCATCATCACAGAATTGCCATTGTTTTCTGACAACACTCCTGCAACACTGATAGCTGTCTGAAGACCAGAAAGACAATGGATGAACGTTCCCTATTACCATTTTCCCTGGGATCCCCCTATTGCCTTTTACATCCTCTGCTGTCAAAGAGAAAGGAGGACTTCTTGCTTAAAAAATAATTATACAGGAACCTTACCATGGAAATTATATATGTGAACTGAAGACAAACAAACCTAACCAAATTAGCATTTTGGGGTGCTCGAAGTGACTTACAAGGCTGATAAATTTTCATGTCCTCCTCACAGAACGCCATGGATCTGAGGGTATTTTGTATAATTTTATGCAGAACTACTCATAATTATATTATGATAATAATATGGAAAAGAACATCTAAATCATCAAATCCACAACTTACTCATGAAGAAATGCAGACTAAAACATCCCTAAGAAATGACTGTTTCCTCTTTGGAGAAAATCACTAGGTAATTGTTTCACTTAACGTTAGTCAGCTACATTGATTTAAGAGGATTTGTCTCTAATGAATGATGCAGTATTGCACTCAACTTCTATCCAAGCCTTTCTGGACCATGAAATGGAGTTATTGGGGGGGGGGAGAGGAATAGAGATAATTTTTGCATTTCAAACAGCTGTAAGTTATTTCAACAGCTTCTGTGAGATGGCCGGCCATGTAGATGTGATTAATATGTAAATAAGTTGAGATCAAAGTGAATAAAACCTAGGTTATATGTAAATTTGAAACAGCCAGCTGCTGTTATCTATGATAAACAATATTTCACAATATTCATGATACATTTCAAAATATGGATGTGATTGAGAACAAAAAACTTTATTCCACGCATTTTATTGCAGTTGGAGTCCTCATCCTGCTGATACCAATTGGACCACACATATCTTTCATAGCCCCTGCATGATTCTAATTTTTAAAACACTTGTTTTCAATTCTAAAATGGGAAAGTGGTAAACTCCAATCTCTAGTATTACCTTTATTTCCAGAAAAGCTTTGCATTCCACATGATACCATCAGTATTCTCCACAAGTAAGGATGGCCAGTGGCTATGGCCCAGTGCTTTTTTTTTTTTTTTGCAAAGAAAAATAGCAAATATAGGTAGTCCTTGACTTAAGACCACAATTGAGCCAAAATTTATGTTGCTAAGCGAGACATTTGTTAAGTGAGTTTTGCCTCATTTTATGACTTTTCTTGCCACAGTTGTTAAGTGAATCTGGCTTCCCCATTGACTTTGCTTGTCAAAAGGGGATCACATGACCCCGGGATACTGCAACCATCATAAATGTGAGTCAGTTGCCAAGTGTCTGAATTTTGATCACACGACCACGGGGATGCTGCAATGGTTGTAAGTGTAAAAAATGGTCATAAATCACAATTTTCAGTGCCATTGTAACTATGAACGGTCACAAAATGAACTGTGGTAAGTCAAGGACTACCTATATAAGCTTGGAACTACCAGAATCACCCTGAGGAGACAGGCTAGAGGGGAAGGATCACTTCTTGGAAGTAGATATTTTGAAGCTGTCCGTGTCTATTCTGACAACCATTTAATTAAGGTCAATCTGTGCAGAGTAACTGCCTGTTTGGATCTGAGTGCTTATTTGACTTATTTAGAAACTTTAAGGTTACCCTACTTCAGTGGTTCTCAACCTTTTTAATGCCGCGACCCCCCCAACCGGTCGTAAGTCGAGGACTACTCAACTGGTGCAGCACCGTTTGCAGAATGGGACTTTTGGCGGGCTCAGCAGGGCAGAGACAGCCTGGACAATTCCTCTTGGCTTTTGAAAGCCAATAGAATTAGACTCTATTCAAGAGAGTCTATTCTATTGGTTTTCAAAAGCCAGTAGAATACAAGGGAGTAGCACAGTTAAGGAAAAGGGGGAAAAAATGGCGGATTGCGTTGTTTGGCGACCCCTGTGAAATGGTCGTTCGACCCCAAATGGGGTCCCGACCCACAGGTTGAGAACCACTGCCCTACTTGGTAGCTGAGTCTAGACTGAAAAGCACGCTTTGTCACCAAGTCTAGACATGTGGATACCTCTTAGAGGTTCTGAAATTTGGGGTTCATTTGCTCTATATAAATCTAAAATGTATTCAAGTATATTGGACCACCACCAAATGTTTTGAATCAGAATTATATTGATAGAAACGTTGTGGCAGTGTTTGAAGGCTGGACAACATACTGTCACACAGATGGTAAAATGATGTATAGCTTCTGGTAATGCAGACGCTCTCTGTATAATTAGAGTAGCTCTGAAATCTCATAAATAAACATTAGGCAGGACTGATTTTATTCACTGACATTGTGAAATGAACTTGAGTTGACAGTGAATGCCATTAGTAGAATATTTGGACTGCAAAATAGTTACAGGAAAAGAAACCCCCCCTCGATGTGCATTAATGGAGCATCTTTAAGGACATTCAACTGTTCTATGCATATTTATCTGTTGCAATCAAGTTCCATTGTATTCTGTGGCAGTTCTTTCTGAGGACAGAATTGGACTGGAAATCTGAAAGTATTAATGTACTCATTTAACAGAATCAAAGAAAATAATTAAATAAAAGAGCGTAAAATTAGATTAAAACGTTTGTTAAACAGCTGGATTTCATTTTCCTGTCTTACAGAATTTGGTGTAAGCTGATCTTAGACATGATTCCTTTACTAAAACTGTTTTTTTTTTTTTAAAAAAAGACATATTGTTGAACTGTTCCTACCAGTCTTGTATAGTATTGAAGGACTCTTCACAAGTAACATCATACATCAGGATGAATCCCATTGCTCCTCTGTAATAAGCAGTTGTGATGGTCCTGTACCTTTCTTGTCCAGCTGTATCCTAAGTAAAATAATATGTAAAAATAGTATGAGCTTTATGAGTTTTCCCTGGGCCTAATCCTATTGATAATACAGTAACCATTTCATGAGTTTGGTTTTTCTTCTACCAGAACAGTAGAGTTATCCAGTAAGGAGACTATTTTTCCTGAAACATGGAGTAAAATGTTATTCCTACTGGGAATTTATGAATTAGCCAAATAATAACGATTGCATTGCATATTACCTTTATAACATCCCATTAATTTCTATTTAGAAAAATACAATTTTGGTCTGACTTGAAGTATAGTCATCTTTATCATACTACTTTGTCTAAAGTGCAAGTATCATAACCATACAATACAATAAAAAGCAACTTGTAAGTAAATCCAGCCATTAAATGATCCTTCTGTGGATACCTTCCTATAATATATAGCCTATGGAAGGTACCAGTTTTCCCCAGTTTATTGCTCTTGCATAATGTAGGACCATAATTCCCATTAATTCCCAAACTGTGCTTTCATGGAATTATAGTCCAGTACAACTGGTGCCCTCCAGGTATTTAAGACTAGAATTCTCATGAACCCATGATCTCTGACTATAAGGTATTATAAAGGGGGATTATTAGAAAATTGTACTCTAGGACAATTTACTCTAGGGTTTTTCAACCAGTGGTACGGGTACCACCTGTGGTACATTGGCACCTTGCAGGTGGTACGCAACCATCTTAGAAAAGTGGTAGCAGGGGAGGGGAATGATCTGAACTGGTGGCAGCAGCACCATAAGCCTGAGCGAGAGATGGCTGGAGCTGCAGGGCTGTCAAGGCTCAGCCAAAGCGCCAGGATCAGTGCCGCTTTCCAGCTGATCGGTGCTTCTTTGGGGCTGTCAGGGCTCAATGGAAGTGCCAGGATCAGTGCCAGGCTCCAGCTGGAGCTTGGCGCTGATCCTGGTGCTTCTGCTAGCCCAGAAGAAGCACCAATCAGCTGGAATGTTGCAGCATCTCCAGGTTTGTGATTTACATTCAGATGCTTGGCAACTGATTCATATTTATGACAGTCACAGTGTCCCAGGGTCATGTGAAGTGACCAAAACCTGCTGCAACCACCCAGCAGATGGGGGAATAAAAACCAAACACCCCCACCCCACTCCCACTGTCAATCCTCAACAGAAATGCTCACAACAATGAAAACCTCGGACAGGAGGAAGAGCGCCGCCGGGCGCTGTCTTACTTGGCTGTGACTTGGGGGGCACTTTTTTTAAATTCTGTGCATCTGATGAAATGAACTGTAGCTCATGAAGCAGATTCCTTTCAATAAAATGTGTTAGGCCAGCGGTTCTCAACCTATGGGTCGTGACCCCATTTGGGGTCGATCGACCATTTCACGGGGGCCACAAAGCAAGGCTGTCCGCCATTTTTTTCCCCTTTTCCTGCGGGTGCCTTACCTCCCTTGGGCTGGGCCAGCTGGTGGCCCAGCCGGTGGTCGGCCTGCTCCATCTCTGCCGCTTGACAGCTATGCCTTGGCTGGCACAGGGGGCAGCACCACGCATGCGCGGCGCTCCCGGGCAGGGAAAGTCCTCGACTTACGACCGGTTGGGTAGTCCCCGACTTACGACCGGTTGGGTAGTCCTCGACTTACGACCGGTTGGGGGGTCGCGGCATTAAAAAGGTTGAGAACCACTGTGTTAGGCAGAAGGTGCTTCCACACTAACATTTTATGTTACCATAGGCTAATATGTGTCTCTACCTACAGCAGCCTACGGCTATTCTGACTTGTTCCCACTACAGACATTTCAAAGTGTTTACAGCATAAAAACACATTTGCCTTTTAAAACGTTCTATTTGCAAAGCTTTCAGCAGCCGGTGAAAATATTAAACAGCAGCAGGGAAAGCAACAGTCTTATCTTTGAGGCACACACTTGGTATTACAGCAGCTTTTTTCCCTTGATGTGACCAATCTTCAGTCATACGGCAGTGTGCTGCTTCTCAATCTCAAATGTTTAAAAACGTCTCTGCATCAGACATGATTAATGGGAAAGTCTCCTCTTTCGCCTATCTACTCTAGGAAGATGTAACATTCTGAAAGGTTCTTATTGCTCAAATAACTTTAGCATGAAATTCACTAACTTGCAAAAGGGCTTCAGCGGAAGAAAATCTACTGGTACAAGCTATAATTCATCTATACAGGAAATGACTTTCCTCTTACTTTAATTATAGTGAAATCCTTGCATGTGCATTTGGGTGTAAGTCCCATTAGCTGGATTCACACATTGTGGTAAATTATCTCTTTTTTTAAAAAATCCTGATTTAATGAAATACACCATTGGCTACATTCACACGTTTGGTACAACTGATAGTTTACAAATCACAAGGACTGAATTCATACATCTTGCAATGAAAAGGCAAACAAATCATATTATAACTTACCCACAAACCAAATCCAAGGTACTTGCTTTTAGAAACACTTACATAGAACTCAGAAGACAACAAGTGAAGCTATTTCAACATGAGAGTAATGAAAGAGACAGGAACAGCTAGCCCTTGCATTGATGATGTTACCTAGTTTGCTAATAAAAGGTCTACAAGGAAACAACTGAGCTACAAATATTCTCTTCTATTAGTAACATCTACCCACCTGTGCAGCTATATTTTGGGTCAATTGCAAATTCTACTGCCATAGTCTGATCTTAAAGTTATCAAAGGAAACTCTTATTCCTTTTTTTTTTTTTCCAGGTATGATCTGCTTGCTTTTTCAGACAAAGCTAATAGAGACAAAGTGCAATAGAAACTAGAAGGGACATTTAAAAATCTTTCTTATCCCTATGCTGTGGCAAGCAAAAAGCTAAATGCAGAAGGCCTTGAGGAATTGATGAGGAGGCCATTCTTTTATCACTGGGGAAATGTGTGCAGTGTTTATCCTATTAAGCAACTTGAAACTTACACTAAACATATACAGATTCAGGTAGAAGCTGCGTTCAATTTTATTGTTGCAAGACCCCTGGACAATTTAGGTGGTGGAACAGAGTCTCTAGATATGTGATATTTCTGATGCTGCATAAATGGCACTCTGTAACAACAAATACAGTCTGAACACCATGCAGAAGAAGTGGCATGGCAAGCAAGACATCCCTTTACATCTTGTTTCAGAGTGATATCCATCTTAGTGTTTTTTGCAGCAAGAATTTTTTCTGGCACTTAAAAGACAAGCTCACTTTTTATACAGAATGTATTAATCTGTCTATTTGGGAATGAAGGGGTTTTTTTTTATTTTCCTAAGTTAATTTTCCTAACACTTCATCTAAATTTACCTGCAGTTTTTGGCTTGTGTTATTGCATCCTATGGCAAGAAAATGACCAAGCAGCCATGTGGTGCATTGCATAAAAATAAAAGCCCTTCTTTCACTCAATACCTGTAAATTGGTTTTTTTTTTAAAAAAAGCCTTTTATATGGGAATGTTAAACAGTTGTTTGTTAAATCCTTTCTTGGAGTCTCTCATGCTCAGAACCTTTTTCTATGATAGAGTTCTTATCTCTCTCTTCTGACAAGAAAAAAAAAACAAGATAAAGTTGGTATTTACAGGAGCAACCATGGTGATTGTTGTCAAAAAAAGAGAAATTGTCCTTTGAATAAGCATTCTTTCCAGGGTTGTTTTATGTTAACCTTGATCATCACACTCTGATTGTATGTACTGTGTTTCTAACGCACGCAATATATGAAATTGTATCTACTACCACTTTTATTATTTTTAATAGAGAGAGTTTTGGTATGCCACCTTTTAAAACATAATCATTTTTACATAACCCCCAAACTATGTCACAAATATTTTGCGATGGCTCTTTATAATTATATGAACGACATGCCCATTTATATTGAATCTGTTCTGTCATATCACAGACATTAATTATTCAACTTACCTACTTACAGAGGTACAAAAGAATTCATTGTTTGCTAGACATGCTATGTACTTCATGCTAATTCACTTTAATTTGGTATTATATTAACAATCTGGTTACCAAAATAATTTCACCCATGTGAATTTCTGCCCATGTGGGTTAAAATTAACTTATGCCCTCTTGTGCTTGCTTCAGCAAAAAAGTGCAGACTGAATCTGCTATAAAACTGTACAGTAATCCAGCTACTAAAATTTGTTATACAGATTTTTATATATATATTCAAGGTAAATATATATATATATATATATATATATATATATATATATATATATATATATAGGTCTTTGGTTGTTCGGGTTTTCTCCCGCGTAAAATTGGAAGTGTCTTGGCGACGTTTCGACGAAGTCACATTCGTCATCTTCAGGCTGGTGTTTTCAGCTTCTTGCTTTGAGCAGCAATGTGTGGTCTTAGCTGTTTCTTCCTTTTAACTGCCAGTGGGGTATGAACTGATTGGGTGGGAGCTTGGCTGTGTTCTGATTGGGTGGAGGTGTGTTCTGAATGGTTAGGGGCTTGGCTGTGCTCTGATTGGCTGGGGGAGTGTTCTGTTTGGTTGTGCTCAGGTTAGTCTGAGTTGCAGAGGGGTTTAAGATTTTGGGGTTATGGAGTCGTTTGTCAATAAGGGCGGGTTTCCAAATGGCTGGTAGGCGGGAGGTATCATCTCGCTTGTTCATGCTGTGTGGGCGTTTTTCTATCTCGATGGCTTCTCTGATTATTCTGTTATTAAAATGTTCACTTTTGGCAATGGTTCTGGTATTTTTAAAGTCAATTTCATGTCCTGTGGCTTTAAGGTGTTGGACCAGGGAAGATGTTGGTTCCTCTTTTTTGACTGAGTTCTTATGTTCTTCAATGCGTGTACTTATTCTTCTGTTGGTTTGTCCGATGTATGTGGAGGGACAAGTGGTGCATGGGATTTCGTATACTCCTTGATTTTCTAATTCGATTTTATCTTTTATCATACCCCCACTGGCAGTTAAAAGGAAGAAACAGCTAAGACCACACATTGCTGCTCAAAGCAAGAAGCTGAAAACACCAGCCTGAAGATGACGAATGTGACTTCGTCGAAACGTCGCCAA